TTTAAAATTGTTTCACTAGACTTTTCTTGGTTTTTTTTTTGTTCAGTGCCTCGCTACCAGATTGCACCTATTTTGTTCGGCAGATTATACCTGTTTTGTTTGTGGTGAGGCGTAAGCCTCAAAAAAGTTTTGAGGCTTACGCCTTGCCTCATAACAAAAAAAGGTCTCAGTACCCATTTACGTTTTTTCAAACTATGCTTATAGTTTTTTAAGAAGAAAAGGAAAATAACAATCTGTAATACAGCTACCTAAGTAGATACTTCCATTTAGAACAGAGGTAAAAACAAATCTATTTGAACAATAATGAGTCTATCTTCATAGCCTAAGACTCAAAGTGGAAAGCAATTTCTGCCCATCATTTTTGGCTTCCAAATGTAATGGGTCCTGCGGCTACTCCCTGAATAAAGGAACTGCATGAAGTGGTTTACAAGGAATTTATTGCAACTTGTTTGAAATTTCATCAGAATCAAAATATTGCACCTTAAGATCATGCGGCAACAAATTTGACCATTGAGTCCAAAAATGCAATAGATATCTATTGAGTGACTCTTAAATAAAAGGTCAACACATGACTGTAGCTACCCATGAGATTGCTTTAAACTATGCATTTCACCTTTCACTCAAATTGGTTGTTGATCTCTGCTGCCATCACAAACAATTATCAAACGTTCAAACTCAGGTTACAATACTATCAATCTTCATCAGCATTTTTTTCATCTATACAGAAGAGGACAAGAGGGTATGCAGCATCTAGAAGACAACTTTAGGTAGTCTGGCAGTTCTGGAATTAGGAATGCATACTAAAATTACACGTGTCAAGGAAACCTCCTGTATTTAAAAAACATTCTCGATCAATATTTACATGGGTTGCTATCATTTGACTAGGAATAATTATGTTGTGCAGCCAGAAATCATGCTTGCATGTGTAAGCAATGTGTTACTCAAAAAGAAAAAGAGTTATTTGGAAAAACAAAATCAAATTCATGTCATGTCATGTCATAATTAATAGCAGAACTAACAGTCTAGCACAGAGAAGAAAAAAAAGGTAATATAGAAATACAGAGAGAATGAGAATATTTTTACATAATCTGTTAGATAATTTAATTGAACCCCTCACAGATGGTTCTAGCTATGAGCAAAATACCTGCTCCCGTCTATCAACAAAAGCCTGTAATAAATCTCCCACGTGGTCTATGAATTTCTGAAACCAAATAAGAGAACTAATGCTCTGAGATATGTATAGTCAGCCAATGAACAATGATATGTTTAAGCAACTAGTCTCACCATTGCATTTGAAGAGAGAAAATCATTTTCAGCTTCACGTATTGGCAAGAAAAATGGAACTGTATGTTCAAGAAGAGTCATTTTCTCAAGAAATGACTTGCTTTCAAGCACACAATGGTAGAGGTCGCAAGGTTCTCCTGTTTGAAGTACAACAACTGAATGATTATTACTTACCACCGTATAAACATACAAGTTCAAAATGAAGGGGAGAATGCATGTTTACAAGTCGTACGTTTAATATTATGCAGCCTCTATCATTGAAAAAATAATTGTGTGGCAAACTGCACTTTTCCATTTTTTTTTATTTTTTTTTTGGGGATAAGGCTCAATACCCATTTGAGGTTATTTTGGTGAAGTTCAATAAAACTCATTGTATTGCCACGTCTAAATGTAGGCAGTGTAGATGGCAACAAATATGGTGAAGCTCTGTTGAATATCAAAAAAGGAACTATAAGATCCAGTATTCATTAGATGTTATTCTGGTGAAGTTTGATAAAATCATTGTAATGCATCGTCTAGATGAAGTCAGCATAGATGGCAACAAATTTAGTGAACTTCAAATATCAGAAGGAACTATATTTTCTGCCAGAAAGAGGTTGAAAGGCTTTTATTTGCAAGTTGAGTTAAGCGATGAGCTATGACATCTCAATTTAGCTTTTTCTAAGTAATGGATATGTAACCGCATCAGTTGTTCAGCACTAGTATCTTTTAAACAACTTTCATTTTATTGAGTGGTTCATATTGTGTGCTGCCTCTCTACATTTATCTTCTCTTGACGGTCCTAAGGCACGTACACATACATTAGGCGTATTCAAGTAAATACCATTGGTATTTTACTGTTAGCAGAAAAAAGGTGAATTCTTGTTTTAACAAGTAGTATTGTACCATGTCAACATCCGTGAATCTTTTGTTAAGGTATATTGCATTAGATAACATAAATCCATGGATTTGCACCACCAGCAACCAGATGCTGTGATTGTCGGATCCAATTCTAAATAAGTAGGTGTTTCCGTGTGATGTTAACTAAGTAAATGATTTCCACTAGGGAAATTACATATAACCTAGTATTTTGCAATTAAAAGGACATTGAGCCATATCAAGATTTCCTAGGGACAATCAAGTCCTAGTTAATCAATATCTACCATGCTTAGTACTAGATGAAAAATTAATAATTTCAAATCTTAATCTATTATTCATCTGAACAGACAGTGAGATTACAACTGTATGGGGCACCAATAGAATCAAGCAGAAAAGCATGTTGTCAAGTTTGGTTGGTAGAAGAAATTTTTTGGGTACCCAACCAGTTACTTAACTGCTTGAGTTCAAAACTCAACATAAAAAACTCTAAAGAGTCTACTCCCATTAACTTTTTGCAAGATGCTTCCATCTATGATTTATATGCACACAAAAAAATCATCCTTGTTTCCAGGATGGTTCAATTAATCAAAATGACATGTCAGCTGAAAATCAACCTTTACAATTTGATTCACAAAAATGGAACACTATCGAATATGATCCTATCAGAAATAATAAATGAGAAAAAAATTGTTATATACTTTCAGCAGCACCAGATATTTTTCATTAGTTATAATTCATACCATTATGAAATCAGAAAGTTTGTAATTACCTGCAAATGATGTCTCATATTGAATGCCAATCCTGGCTCCTTCCAAACAGCAAATCGTCTGCTCATAAAGAATGCTATAATAAGAAGTCAATCATGTTGCTCATAATCAGTTATATTGCTTCCATTTACCTAAACTTCAACAGGGTCTTGTGCAAAACAGACGCACAGGACAAAGGACATATCTGGAATTCCAATATTAGTTAGACTTAAGGTTTGTTTTGACAAAGATTTTTTTTAAATCATTTTTTTCCCAAAATCATTTCCAACCGCACATTCTATGTGACCCATACTTTTCCCCACTTTTTAACCACATGTTCTCTAAAAAAAAATCATTTTTCCCTTGGAAAAAAATGTGCCAAACAAACTTTTATATAGTTGTTGGTCTAGAATTATCTTTCGCAATCGAAGTTTCTCATCATTTAGAGTTATAAACCTTGTAGTAGGAGAAGTCCTTAAGGTATATTAAAACTCGTGTCATATTTTTTATCTTATTTTATTTTTAAGAAAGACTTGAACCAGGAACAAGACCGTGTCATCTTTCGGGTCTTATTTTATTTTTAACAAAGACTTGGACTAGGAACGAGACTACACCAGCACGATCGAGATATCCCATTTGGAGTCACAATCCTTGTAGGATAAGTCCTCTAGGTCTATAAAAATGTGTCTCGTATCTGTAATTCAATAATCTCGTTACAAGAATCTTACATCGTTTTGAATAATATGAAACACTTTTTTTCTCATTTTCCTCATCATCCTCGTCCTCGTCCTTCTTCTCCCGCTATTCCTAAAGCACTATTCTCAGTGCTGTTCATCAGCACCAAATGGCCAGCCAGATCTCACTAAGCCCCTGTTTGATACTCATTAAAATTTTCATTCTCATTCTTCTACTCATTTTCAACCACACATTCTTCAATAAAATAATAATTTCCATCACATCAATAATTTTTCCTTCTTTTTCAACCACACATTCTCCATCAATCTACTATTCCAAAATACATTCTTTCAAAATAATATCCATCAAACACACCCTAAAACTGTCACCCATTAGACAAAAAAAATCCCTAACAAACTGGCCAAGCAATCCACATTAATTGTGTGTTGGCTAAGCTTGATAATTTACTACAAGTTCACTAATAGTAAATAAGTTGGTTTTGAATTTTATTTTTTTTCTAGTTAAAGTTGGAAAAAGTTACTTACATTGAAAGTAACCCTAACCCCACCGTCATAATGTAACTTCTTTACTTGTAAAAAAAGTAAAACAAAACATGTTCTAAAATAAAAATTTAATTAAAAGTAGCTTAGCAAAACAAGCTTTTATAACAAAACCCATCATATGGTGCCTTTATGAGAAATTTTTTGAAGTGACCATACATCAGTGTCCCTCTTTCACATTGTTGTGACAATCCACATAACATGGGATCCTCATTAGTAATTAAGAATTGCGTTGGCTTATAATTTCATTGATTTTTTCGACGGCTTTCAATGTACACTATAAAATTTGAGAAGATAATAATGCAAATTTGGTCATTGAAACCCTACCATTATTATTCAAATTTAGTTGTGGGCTTACAATTTTAATTTGGCTCCACCTGAATTAATTCAAAGGCTCAGATAAGCCTCCAAATCTACCAGCAAACACTGCCTTCTAAATCAATTGTGCACCAAGACACTACAGTTAAAAGAAATTAATTCAACATTTCCAATAAGATGAATTGGGATTGAAGTAACTATCCCCTCGTGCCCCCACACAAGAAGCAGATAGCACTGCCAGTCTTTCACCCCTAAATCACTTATGCACCAAGTTTACTCCGGTTTAAAGGGATAAAATTCAACATTTCCTATAAGATGAATCAGGTGGTAGCTTAACTATACCCCTGGGGCCACCATGCAGGAGATGGATACTTAAAGTGTGCCACTGTAGTATGCATAAGACTATTACTTCTTTCCTTCATATTGGATTTGGTTTGGAATAGTATTCAATAGTCCCCACCAAGAAAACAAGAAGAGTGCCATCTTAAGACAAGGAACTTGAGTAATCCAACTAGTGAGTGGATGTAAATAATGGGTAATAATAAAGTCTGCAGGTAATGCTGAATTCTTATACCAGTGAATGTCAAGTGTTCCAGAGGTGATCAAAAGATCAACATGCTTATGCCATTCAAGAAGCAAGAAACTAATTTCACTCTAAGGCTAAGCTATGGAAAGTACTAGGCACTAGTATTACAACTCACAATTACGCTTAGTTCTTTCTCCAGCAGATTGTTGATCACATCGATAAGGAAAATCTCACTTTATTATATATACGAAGTAATTGGTGCATGACCAATATTAAACAGGTAGAAGTTGGTTGAAACTTTTCTACACTTCTCTTTCTTCAATACAAGAAAAATAGAAGAATACCATCTCAGTATGACACAAGAAACCAAAAAATGAAGTCCTACATATTTCGGGATTTATTAAGAAACATAAACAGCTATAAATTCCTAACAATCATAATATACCTTATTTCCAACTCTGTAAGTTATCTTTTCATGAGGAAATGCTGGCAATGCAGTTGTATCCCCTGACAGTTGTGATGCCTTTCTTTCAGCCTCCATGTGAACCTGCCATAAATATCAACATAGTCTGACTCTGAATGTGGAAACTTGTATGAAGACAACTCCTATCAAGTCAGCAGTAGAATCAGAGAACAAAAAGACGCACGTGAGAAAACGGAGAGGAAACCAAAAATTTCCACCAATTTCGCAATGAAATTCAAAAATGACTTTTCTTCTGTAGGAATATCAAACAAAAGCAATTTCCATTGAATTCTTACCCCTCTGATCTCCATGGATAATGAAAAGGATAATTACTAAAACTAGTAAACTGAGTGAATAAAATCATACCCGCTCCCTTACGGTAGCTAATAAACCATCATTCCATTGCTCACCATCTAACCATATTTCTGCAAAATAATTAACATCTTAACAAAACTAACAAGTAGATGATATTTGAAGAGTGAAATAATGGTATTCTAATAAAGCTCCAGGTGAGTTATCCACCAATTCAGAAGCAATTCAAGAGGCTAGCAAAAGCATATAAGAATATTCAGAATATAACCAATAACAGATCTAAAAATGAACAAAACTTTCAGTCGAGAGTGCAGGTATAAGTGCCAAAACTAGTAACAAACCCCGGAAGAAGTTGAAATGAATTTAATAATCAACACTCAACATATCAATAATCTCGTGTAGTCAAAATACTTTGTGTGAATATATTATCTAAAAGATAAATATTCTAATACCTTATAGTTTATCAGTTTGGAAATTTAATTATAGTATTAAATAGTAAAAGGAAAATGCAAATGTGTTTTGTATCTTAATCTTATACATATTCAAACATACCTGGAAATCATGATTTTGATGCAGTCTACACAACAAATCACATCAAGTTAAGAGCATAAAAAAAAATATCATACAAGTGAATGGTGATAAGAGAATTTTTTTAAGGAATCTAAGGACTAATATTACGATAATAGGAGATAAAGCCCCCATTATTTGAAATTTTAATGGTTGGAATGGTGTTTTTTTGAAAAATATGTGGTTAAAAAAGAAGAAAAAGTTTTAAGAACATGTGTAATATTATTTTATTGGAGAATGTGTGATTGATAAGAAGAGAAAGAAATGAATTATAATTTTAATGGGGGGCATAATCTTCTCAACTCTTATTTTCTGGAAGTAGAATTCTTATAAAAAAAAAATTCTGGAAGTAGAATTGAAAAGAAAAATGCCAACAGACATAATCGGACGAGAACTAGAATTGTAGATGAAGGGGAACCTGGGGAAGGGGGAGAGAAGAAGAAGAAGAGAAGAGGAGAAAGTAAGAGAAAAAGACAAGAAGAGGGGGAGAAAGAAGGAAGAGGAATCAGAGACACAAACAAGAGAGAAGAGGAAATTAGAGAGAGAAAGTGTTTATTCAATTTATCAAAGTCAAGGAAAATACAACACATAAGCCCCAAAGAAATAACATAACATACAAGAAAACAAGAAAAATAAACTGTATTTACTTTTCCTAAATCAAGAATCCAAACTAGGAAAGTCTTCATGTAATATATCTAATACGATCTCCACAAAAATATTGATAATTCTAAGTTCTTTATCGCCATGAGTTCTAATTATTGGCGAGTTGACTAACTTTCCACATTATTCATTTCAAGTAACAAAAACAGTTTTCATAACTCATTTTTTCTAAACTTGCCAACTTTGCTGGTGTTTAAGAAAATATGGAATCTACAACTTACATTTCAGAAAAATATTAGGCTCCCAGAAATCCTATGTTGAAAATAATCTCCTAGTGGGCCAACAAACATGTTTGGCGTTTCCCTTCAATCTTCAATAAAAGACAAGGATTCACTGCCGTATCCAATATAGCATCATTACTACATTCTACTTAGCGGCCGACAAATTATTACACATGCAAAAGGTGGAAAGTTTTTCTCAGTATCTATTCTCCGAAACAGGCATTTGCAGCTTTTGGCATCTGAAATAAGGTCCGATCACGAAACTGTTACATGAGGGTACAGTTTCTCGAAAAAAAATTTCTTCCTAGGTTTTTTATTGGGCTTCACCACTATGTTGACATCTTAGTAGGTTAATGCATATATGTTTCCTTATCATTGCATGACTTACATATCTAACAGTTTCGTCCTTGCTTGGCAGTTGATGTTAATTCAATTATTTCAAAAACTTATAATAAAGATGTACAAATCATAGATTCATGGAGAATCATGAGCCAACAATAGATGGCTACAGGGTAAGAAGAAGCACACAATGGCAGCCACCAAAAGTATTTTCAAAATCTTGTATGAACAGTTAAAAATACAGTGCTCAAAGATTTATCTAAAACTACCTTGAGTTTGAGAAGCACGGGCAGCTTCAAATTCCCTTTGCAAGCGCTCAAAAACCATCTTGTCAGAGTCCCTAATGAATCAAAAGCTTTTAAAACCTCTACTATCTATTATTACAGCCATTCACTAAAACGAGAATCCACATGAAAGAAAAATAGAGCTGATTTTCCTTTCCATTAAAACACCATGATTACAATCTGATGATTGGTGCCTATTCTATATTTACAATCCATCACTTGCACTTTTAAACTTTTTACATCACTGAACACTTCCTAGTTGTACAAAGGGGTGGATGAATTAACCCTGTGTTCACATTCGGGGCCCACCCACCCTCTGGAACATTCTTTTCATAATGAGCCCAAATTATCCCATACAGTAATTCCAGTATGAACACTGCAACTTAATATCTGATTGCAAAAAATGGGTAAAGAACAAGAACAGTAGAGAACCGAAGCCAACCATATTCACGTGCAAAAAGTACGTCAAAGTGAAAATAAAATTATTTTATTTAATTGAAGTTTCAAATTTTAAGCTGCAATGTCAGAGGAAGTCAGTCAGCATTCTAAAGTACAGGTCAAGATAGAAAATAAGCATAGACCAGAATTCAACATGTTAGCCCAAGCACATCAAGATATTTATGAGATCTAAACGCAGTCAAGAATCTCTATTACTGGATGGACAGTATAAATCCATGGATTTCAGGCCTTCCCAATACAATCACGGTGTATGAATAAAATCTGAGAAATTTGGAAAAAAACAAACGAGATCCAAACAGGGAGCCAATTTAGGCAAAACCCTTAATATCTAGAAAGAACCCTAAAGTCAGGGCCGAACTCAATAGTAATTTATAATTGGTCCCATTAAGTCTTATTTTCAGTGTGGATTGAAGCACATTATTTTTACATACGGACAGACAGTTCATTTCTAGATCAAAAACATCAAATGTTCCTTCTAAATTCACAACAACTAGTTGTCTTACACTATTGCAATTGTATTAGTTAGTTCTAGCCCAGAAAACAATTCTAGATATTACCAAAAAGATGTGTCATTATTATCTAGCACTTTACAAGGAAATTTTATCTAAAGGATCATTCAAGCATCAAATCCAAAAAAATCGGAGCTTTTTCCCCGCTTGAGGGAAAATATCAATCATTAATGTCTAATCAAATTATTTCCCCATACGTTGAATTACAAGTAATCTCTACTATTTGTACCTAGAAAGGCGCTCTGTTAGTGCTCCATGCCTTCTAAGGACATTTGAAACTGCCAGGAATAACAAAAGAGTACATGTTTGATAACTGATGCATTACAAGGATATTTGAAATCTTGAGATAGACAAAATATGCAAGAGTAAATACATCTCGCCCGGGTAGTCTCCAGTCTTGCATCTTCTGCTTGCACAAAATTCTAGCACACAGAGATAACAAGGGTACACTCATCAACATATGAAAGTAAAGAGAATACCTACATTATCAGCCCCAAAATATGTCCAATGACAACAACAACAATAATAATATATAAATAAATAAAAAGACCGGTAACTTTAAAAAGAACAAAGCATGACATAGTGTTGTAGCAAAAATTACGATATTGAAACCTTGCAGGTCCCATGTCAATTGTTCATTGCCATGCCAATTACACACCATTGCATATTTATTAAGCAGCAGTATGGGTAGCAAGTGCCATGCCAACAATAAACTTGGAGTGCACGACATAATTATTTTCGCCATTCCTCCGAAGCAAAGCTACCTTTCTAAAAAGATTCGAGGAAATCAAATATTTTGCAACCACCCAAATTCAGACTCCTCTCTCTCTTTCTCTTACAACATTTACTAATAAGATTGTGGAATTCCTTTGAATGAAAGATGCTTCAAATTTGAGCAAGAAGGGACAACTATCTAAAACATCCTTCCCTTATTTTATCTCAATTTGTTCTAGCTCCACTTATTATATTATGACGACATTTATGAATGGATTTTACTGTGATTGAATGTCCATCTTAACATACTCAATTCTATTGGGTTTCACTGTGATTAAACATCCATCTTAACATATTCAATTATATGCCCATTATTTTTCAGCATCTAGAACGTCACAAAGCATAGCGGTCTAATGGCCCTTAATGCGCGATAAGTAATGTATAGAATGTTTATCATGCAGGAACAACCAAAAGAGTCCCTTAAAATATAATTAGCATGTCTTACATGGATATGAAACTTTTTCTTTCTCCAACTTAAAAAACATTACTATTCCATCCCAAAAAATCATCCTTTTAGATGATAATTGATGCTACTGCAAACGTAACTGCTTCTACCTACGACAACTAAGATTTGATCAGTTTCTAAAGCTATAGTAAAAAAGTGAACAGTTTCAAAACAAATTAATAGCTTTCTTTTTAACCCACATGCACAGACTTTGCATGTATTTAATTAATTCGATACTATAATCTTCAAATTATCAATCACCGAAAACCGGTCCAGGAAAAGTTACCACTTCTCCCATGTTCATTGGGAAATGCCTCTCCTTAACTTGATCGAGTTGCTGCAGTTATTTGAAGGTACCTATTCAACGAGGCACGTATTATAACTCCCACAGGCCACATATAAAACTTGCGATCACAAGAGGATAAAAAAAGCACAGAAATCAGGATATTAAGAATTTCTCGTAATTAAAGCAGATTTGACATAGAAAAACTTTATGAAAGCCAATTTCATCAATTAAAAGTAAGAAGAATATACGAGGGAAAAACGCATATCAAAATAGAATACCTAAACTTTGCATAAGAAAACACCCAATTCTCCGGAATTTCTTTGGATCTATTCGATGGTGTGAATCACCGAAATCCCCTGGAGGGGCAGGAAGTGAGGTGGGGTTTAAGGCTTTAAGCTCGGTGACGCTGAGAAAGCCCAGGGGTATGGATTTTAGAATTTTTTTTATTTTTTTTTTTTTTATCAATTCGAGTTAAAAATAGATAAAATTAGATTGGGCTTTCCGCTTTGTAAGTTTTAGATAACGTCGAATTGGCTCATCAACCTTTAAAATGAAGTTTTTGACTCTCCAACTTTAGCTTTGACTCTCCAATTTTCTCCACATGACGAAAAATGGTTGTTAAAACTTAAAATTGCTAGTGATTTTCGCAAGAAGTAAAAGTACAGGGTAAAAACGTTAATATGTCTAATATTTTATCGATTTTTCCTGTTTGGGAGGGATTCTCAAAATTCTATAATAAATCAATTCTCATTTTCAACCACACATTCTTCAATAAAACAATATTTTTCATCACATCAATAATTTTTTCTTCTTTTTCAACCATACATTTCTCATCATATTTCTATTCAAATATAAATTCTTCCCTCAAAAATCCCAAACAAACACCCCC